AAAAAAATATAAATAAACAGTATAAGTTCTTTTTTTATCTTGGGGAACATGTTGAGGGGCGAGGTCTGGCGAGTGCGGTAAATGGTTGGTGATAAAAAAGGAAGCAGGAGTGGATTGCAGCTACCGCCACAGAAGCACAGTATGTGAGTGAATCGTACCTTTTAAAGGAGGACCCTCTTCCGTAGAATATTAGGTAGATACCAGAATTACAAAATTTAGAAAAAATATAATTTTTTCGCCGAGTGGATAAGACCGCCATCTTGTCCTAGATTCAAAGCTTTTCCTGCTCCTGTTAATCTTAGCAACGCGTTCGTTATATAAATAAATATTTTTCCAGGCACTTACGGGATGTGTGTCAGTCGTAAACATTAGAAGCGCAAGTATTTGTGTCGCATACTGCAACACCTTAATAATGTGGGCCCACATATTACAGTGTATGACAGCACTGTGTGCTGTTAAAAAAAAAAAAAAAGAAACAGTAATGAAAATAAAGTTTTTTTTTTTTATTATTCTTTCAGATTTGTTTACAAAGATCCGAAAAATCTACATTTATGCGGTCTGTGGAGGTGAGGTATACGGGCAGGGGAACCCAGTGTTGGGAGATAGTCGCAGCTATCAGTCGGCTGATTAAGTACAATTTGTTAATTAACTTTTCAATTGCTGTAAATACACATATAGTTTAAATTAGAAACTTGCTGAGCATCATCGAAAACCACTGAAGCAACTCTTTTTAGAGGGATATACTGCCGGGGCAGCATTTTACGGCGTTCTGTAAAAACGCTCCATTTGGGCACGTTTCTAGATTTCGGTTTCGTAAGAGAGCGCATCTTTGCGCCCGCGGTCCTGCTGCCCGGTGGTCGCGGCGCGAATCCACCTCCTCGCCTCCCCTCGTAGAATGGAGCGAAGTAGGGCGCATGTGTGTTGCGCGTCTCAGCCACTGCGGAGCAGGACCGCGGGCGCGTGTATGCACTCCGAAAAGGAACCGAAATCTAGAAACTCGTCCAAATGAAGCGTTTTACAGAAAGCCATAAAATGCTGCCCCGGCGTTATATCCTTCTAAAAAGAGTTGATTTATTGGTTTTCGATGATGCTCAGCAAGTTTCTAATTAAAACTATATGTCTATTTGCACTAATTAAAAAGCGAATTAACAAATTTTACTGAATTAGCTGACTGCCAGTTGCGACTATCTCCCTATACTATGTTCCCCTTGCCATATAACTCACCTGCGCATACCGCATAAGTGTAGCCTTCACGGCTTTTTTAAAAGAAATCTGGAAGAATAAAAACACTCGGGAAATATGTCGTTTAATAAAATAATACCAAACAATTACCATCTTAATGACAAATCTAAATTAAGACTTACCATGTTGACTTACGTTACACCGCACCACAAGAGAAATACTCCAAACACAGACACACTAAAAAATATACACTCACTCGGCACTGACTCACAACACATGGTTTGTATGGTCTTCTCCTTCTTTGCACAAAGAGCAACCTCCTCTTTTTTGTGTTCTAAAAACGAGATGGCGACATTACAAGCAACTAAAAAAATAAAAACACAAACATTTAAGAAAAAAATATGAAACATAAAAAAAATTAAAGAATAATGAAGAATTCTCACGGCTGGTGCCTAAGAGACATTTTGGTCAAACGCTCAAGCTCCCTCTGTGTGCGAGTTAAAGATGGCCTGCTGACACACTTGTCAATCCATCCTTCGATACTTGCTGCCTCAATAATCTCCCTGGTGAGTTGATTGGGGTTCTTTCCCAGCACAGTGCCCTTGCTCAAAAGGGCCGAACACCCACAGTCCTTACACTGTAGTCACAAATGTCCAGAGTTGGCGTTCACGACATTGTTGGCATGCTCACGAAGGCGGTCATTAAGGCACCACCAGCCTGTCCTATGTACACTCGCCTACAGGAAAGTGGGAAAGAAATAATTACACCTTCTACACAGGGAACAAAGTTCGTCTTGTGCTTCTTGGTGCAACTTATGGTGTTATTTGAAGTCGATTTTACTTTTTTACACATGCTGAAGAGCTTTTTTAAGGCTGAAAAGACTACGTCTACGTTAACTCTATTCGCTGCCCTCTTAAGGCTATGAGAGAGCCTACGCATGTGTGGTAATATTACCGGTCTTTTTGGCTTGTCCCTGGGGTTTTGATTCACGCCATCACCTTGCTTTATCTCTTTAAGGAGCCTTTCAACCACCGACGTCAATAACGAATCAGTGTATTCTCCGGACTTGAACCTTGCCACTTGACAGTTGAAGCTCTCTTGAATTGTGTGCGTGCAAGATTTAGTGATATAATTCTTTAGACGCATCCTCACGACGCCCTCTTCATTAGTTTGGAGTGGGATGAGTGGAATGGGAGGAGCGTCTAAACTAGTGAAAAGGGGCGTCGCATCATGTCAAAAAAATTCACTCACCAAATTTTGCACGCACACTATTACAAATAGCTTTAATTTTGGACTACACTGTAGGGACTGTGGGTGTTCGGCGTATTTGAGCAACTGCACTGTGCTGGGAAGTAGCCCCATTCAGCTCACCAAGGAGATTATCGAGGGAGCAAATATCAAAGGAGACAGTGACAAGTGTGTCAAAGACAAAGACAAAGACAAGTGTGTCAGCGGGCCATCTTTTACTTTCTCACAGTGGGAGCTTGAGGATTTAACCAAAAGGTCCCTTAGGCATCAGCAGTGAGAATTCTTTATTTTAGAGCGCAGCTCTTAGGGGCCCGTTCCCGGCTTGAGCGGCGTCGGCGTCGCCGTCGCCGTAGGCGTCGCCGTCGGCGTTGCCGTCTGCGTAACCAAGGTCATCCCAAGGTCATGTGGCCCCCAAGGTCACCCCAAGGTCACGTGACACCCAAAGTCACGTGACCCCCTGAAGTCACGTGACCCACCGAGGTCACGTGACCCCCCAGAAGTCACGTGACTCCCCCGAATCACGTGACACCCCCAGGTCACGTGACCATCCCCAGGGTCACGTGACCCCCGCCGAGGTCACGTGACCTCCCCGATGACGTCATCGATGACGTCACCGGCATCCGCATCGCCATCGTCATCATCACTGATGACGTCATCAGTGACGTCACTGATGACGTCATCAGTGATGATGACGATGACGATGCGGATGCCGGTGACGTCACTGATGACGTCATCAGTGATGATGACGATGACGATGCGGATGCCGGTGACGTCATCAGAAACGTCAATGATGCCGTCATCAGTGATGATGACGATGACGATGCGAATGCCGGTGAGGTCATCAGTGACGTCACTGATGACGTCATCAGTGATGATGACGATGACGATGCGGATGCCGGTGACGTCATCGGGGAGGTCACCTGACCTCGGCGGGGGTCACGTGACCTTGGGGGTGTCACGTGACTACGGGGGGGGCATCCACATCGTCATCGTCATCATCACAAATGACGTCATCAGTGACGTCACTGATGACGTTACCGACATCCGCATCGTCATCGTCATCATCGCTGATGACGTCATCGGAGTCCGCATCGTCATCGTCACTGGTGACGTCATCAGTGACGTCACTGATGACATCATCGGCATGGTCACGTGACTCCCCAAGGTCACGTGACCCCCCCCCCAGGTCACTTCACCCCCCAGTACCCTTCCCTCCTCCTCCTCAAGAGCTGCGCTCTAATTCGGTGTTACAGGGAGTTGTAAACGGCTTTCACTTTTAGAGCGCAGCTCTTAGGGGCCCGTTCCCGGCTTGAGCGGCGTCGGCGTCGCCGTCGGCGTCGCCGTCGGCGTAGCCAAGGTCATCCCAAGGTCACGCGGCCCCCCAAGGTCCTCCCAAGGTCACCCCAAGGTCACGTGACCCCCCCCCCCGGTCACGTGACACCCCCAGGTCACGTGACCACCCCCAGGGTCACGTGACCCCCCCAGGTCACGTGACCTCGCCGATGACGTCAGTCAGCGATGACGTCACCGGCATCCGCATCGTCATCGTCATCAGTGATGATGACGATGACGATGCGGATGGCGGTGAGGTCATCAGTGACGTCACTGATGACGTCATCAGTGATGATGACGATGACGATGCGGATGCCGGTGACGTCATCAGTGACGTCACTGGTGACGTCAGCAGTGATGATGACGATGACGATGCGGATGTCGGTGAGGTCATCAGTGACGTCACTGATGACGTCTTCAGTGATGATGACGATGACGATGCAGATGCCGGTGACGTCATCAGTGACGTCACTGGTGACGTCAGCAGTGATGATGACGATGACGATGCGGATGCTGGTGAGTTCATCAGTGACGTCACTGATGACCTCATGAGGGATGATGACGATGACTATGCAGATGCCGGTGACGTCATCAGTGACGATGACGTCATTGGGGAGGTCACGTGACCTGGGGGTGTCACGTGACTTCGGGGGGCAGCCGCATCGCCATCGTCATCATCACAGATGACGTCATCAGTGACGTCACTGATGACGTCACCGACATCCGCATCGTCATCGTCATCATCGCTGATGACGTCATCGGAGTCCACATCGTCATCGTCACTGATGACGTCATCAGTGACGTCACTGATGACATCATCGGCATCGTCACGTGACCCCCCAAGGTCCCGTGACCCCCCCCAGGTCACTTCACCCTCCCAGTACTCTTCCCTCCTCCTCCTCAAGAGCTGCGCTCTAATTCGGTGTTACAGGGAGTTGTAAACGGCTTTCACTTTTTCTTTACTTTTTATTTTATAATACTTTTTTCCCATATTTTATTGCGTTTTTTTATTTTTGTAATTGCATTTGATGTCGCCATCTTGTTTTTAGAACATAGAAAAAGAGGAGGTTGTTCTTCGTGCATAGAAGAAGACAATACAAACCATAAGTTGTGAGTCAGCGCCTAATCAGCGTATATTTTTTTAGTGTGTCTGTGTTTGGAGTGTTTCTCTTGTGGTGCGCTGTAACGCTAATTTACACGAACTACCAACTCGCCCAGTCAGCAGTCTTACGACTTACCATGATTCCCGTTGCACTCTCCATAAACTTCCGCGCTGGCCACAAAAGACTGGTGTCTCCAAAAGTCTGAATGGCTATACGCAAGTCAAGTGGCCCTTGCGGAGTGAAGGAGAGAACGTACAGAAGATCGCCGTAAACACCCTTGGCCCTCACGACGTTTACGGCTGGCCCCAACTGCCAGAAATATATCTGATACGTGAAACACTTTCTTCCAAATAGTTTGATATGCAGGTCAGTGGTGGCTGTGGTCTTGACACCGCACTCGTTCCACTTGACATCGTATTCGAACGACAGAACGCGGCATGCCCATGAGTCGCCTGAGACGCGGGAGTACTGCTCAGGCCCGACGAAGGTCGAGGCCTTGTGCAGGTGGTTGAAGTGACTGGCGTCAGCTCCGTTTTCCGCGATGTCCTGAATGTGGGCGTAGACCCGTCTTTCCCAGAGTCCAGTTCGCTTCCGTCGGCCGATTGGACAGCTCTCTTCCTCGACCATGTCCCAGGTTGGATCTTCGCCATCCGCGTGGTACCACACGAGTACCAGCCCGTACACTTCCGTGACCTGCCACGTCTTGACCTTCGCAAACTCGGGCGCTGTTTAGAATGAAAAAGAAAAAAAAAATTCCGGCAATAAAAGGGTTGGGGGGTGGGAGAACGTAAAACTCTCTGGTCAATGAGACTGAATACAGAGAATATTTAGAGGTGCGGATCTGTCAAATCGATATGGGAGTTGTCGCAACGGTTTTGAAAAACTGTTGCCGTTTATTTTTAATGTTTTTTTTATGAAATTATGACGTGTTGTTTTATTCCTTTTTCTTTTTATAAATAAGAATTAGAGAATCTGAAGTGAATGGGACGCTTTTTTATTGAAAAAAAAAAAGATATGTTCACTAAACATATTCGAGCTTATATAAATAATAGAATGCGTATGTAAGGCGTGCATATAAGTTTCTACATTATATGATCTTATGTGTTCTATGTTTATTAGTGACATTATAAAAAAATTTTTTACCTGGGAATTATATATCACACATTATTGCTGCTCAGGTGTAATTGATAAAAAAACCGTGCGATGTTCCCTGGCTGCAGCCGCAAGCCGCGTTTTTGAGCCAGCAGGATCACACAGGCGACATCGCATACCAACATAGTTTGTGAGAGAAAGCTTAAGACATACTTTTGCTGGAATAAGGCACGTAAGCGCAGACCCCGTCCACTCCTCTGAACCTCCAGCCGTGGAAGGGACACTCGATGCAGTCCTCCACCACGCGGCCCATTACGCCCAGGTTGGCACCGAGGTGGGGGCAGTAGGCGTCCATCACTCGAGCCGCGCCGTCTTTGGTCCGGAACGCGACCAGCTCGAGTCCTGCAACGCCGATGCCCAGACGGAGTTGTGCGGACAGTGTTCTACAGCTTGCAAGTTTTGAGTGGCTACAGGTCGGCCGTTACGACCCACTCGTCGCGTTCCTGAGTGGCTGAGAATGTGAAACGTTTCCGGTATGCTCCCTGTTTTCCAGTCAAAGGTTAGAGAGTTTTAGCAGACCGTTTTCGCATTCTGAAAACGATACACGATAAATATGCCATGCAAATGAAAAAGCGCTGGCGCAGTAGTGCGTATCAATTCGAACCGTGAATCGCACTATTATACAATACCTGAAAGCTAAAGAAGTCCACTGCATGGCTTTTTATGTTAGCCCTTCTGGGGCCGTAATTAATTCTTAGACTTTTTTTTTTATCAGATAACTTTGAAATCACAATATCCGAGAAGCGGTAACAAGTTGTGCAAGATTTGTCACGTCCTGCGTATCGCAAGATCGCTCCTTAGACGTCCTCATTGGGATCGGATTTTCCCCTTCATCGCTGACTAGATTCTTGGTTCGACAAGAAGAGTGGCACAATTATCTCCGCCCGGAAACTACGGAAACTTGTATCCTATACGTGAACGCGTTCTCTCAAACTCGCACGGAGGGAGCCGACGCGAGAGCTGTTGAGTTCTCTAGACGGCAGCAGATTACTCACCCATGACACTCAGAGATATAACCTTGTTTGGTTCAACCTCGGAAGAAAGGCCAACTGGAATCCAGCCGTTCGGAAACACGGGAGGCATTTTACCGTGGATGTATCTTCGACGTTCCGACTTCTGTCAGGAGAAAACAAATTCCACGAGACGTGAACCGACTCTTTCTTTTAAAGTCTTTAAGCTGTTTGCCTTTTGGATTATTCGTTTTGAGAGACAATTATTAAATTCTTATTCTAGGAGTCAATCGCATGCGCTTAAAGGGGCCCTGCAATCATATTTAAGCGTCTACCTTTTTGCAGTTTTCAGGTCTCTTGGGGTTCGGGCAAGCCAGCGGGCACGGAGAGAGTAACTAAATATCAGCGCGTCATATGTTAACCGGACGACGCGGGAACCTCCTCCACCTACAAGGGCGACCCGCGTTGGCGTGCGATATGTGACGTCTTTGGTCCTGGGCTTACTACTGGTCAGAACCACTAAAATATTTTTTTTTTTAGTCGAGATACAAATTGTAAGTGTTGCGAACCGTTTCAATTATGTATGAAAATAGTTTTTGTTCAGTATTTTAGATCAGAAAAGAAACAAATGCAGTTTATAAAGCACGGGGACAAGAAATGACCCGTCGACATACCCACCACCAAGCGGCGGAAAAAAACGGCGCATACTAGAAAGGGTTAGTGGGATGAGGCGCCGCCGAACGGCGTGCGTAGAAAGGTCCCGGATGTACGCGGCGGCGCTGCGGTCGTATACCGGCTCGAGGATTCGACCGATTCCGAGCGTTCCGAAGGCTGTCGGCGCGGGCTCGGCTGGCGATTTTGCCATTCGGCGGTATGGCAGCGCGAAGTGGCTCCCGTTCTGAACTGATGTTTACCCCGTGTTTGCTGTCGTTTGTGGCCAATGAAGTGTTATGCCAAATTAATCAGTAATTGTACAGCAAATGCAATGCGAGCCGCCCTGACCGCCCGCTTCGTACAGCCTATCCAACACGTGCTTTAGTGGCGCCCTCTCGAGCCGTCGACACGGAGCGCGGCAGCCGTGAGCGTTCGATGAGCTCACTATCCCTCCTCTAGTTCACGGCCAGTCAAGCCAGGACCTACGACGTCATGAAGGAGGTTATTTTTTGCTTGTTTTTGTAATTCTAATTTGCCTATAACTTTTAAAATAAAGCGAAATTTGAGAAAATAAATGTTTCATTAGTTACTACGTTCAGTGCGCTCAGTATCGGTGCAAATTAAAAATCAGTCAAAAAGTTGTTGCAGGGCCCCTTTGAGGAAACGGGTGTATCTAAGTACCTTCCCTATTTTTATCCGTCTTAAAAAAAAAAAAAACGCATATTTTAGCTTACCGCCGAATTCAGAAACCTCACTCAAACTACACTCAAACTGAAGGGCCCCTCGACTTCCTCGAGGAAGGCGCGAGGGCCGGCGCTGGCCAATCGCGAGGACGGATCCGCCGTCGCGATTGGCCAGCGCCGGCCCTTGCGCCTTCCTGGAGGAAGTGGAGGGGCCCTTCAGTTTGAGTGCAGTTTGAGTGAGGTTTTTAAATTCGGTGGTTAATATCGTAAACGAGACACTTTGCTGCATACTTATTTATACAAACTATTATAAATGAAAGTGTATGAATGCGGTTAGTAAACAAAACAGAAAGTTCAACTGTCGACTTTTTGTTTTGATTCTTTTGACACTGGATAAAATGTAGACCATCGAGCATTTGGACTAATTTTTTCGCGAACCGTGGCTAAAGTCAGCGTAAGGCGCGTGATTGTCAAAACTCTTATAAAATAAATAAAAAGTCAGTAACGCAATTTACAGTCCGAATCAAAGTGGCAATGCAGGCGAGTTGGTTCATCGTCCAGCGCTTGTCCTGTCAATTTCTCTTCCTTGTGTCTTCGTTGTTTGCGCGCTGATTCCATTTTGTATTTACAGTCCGCGGCTGTTTAAAGGTAATACAAAATATGTATATATATTTACTTACATAGAAAAGGTGGACGATTTGTTTTTGTTTTCTTTAGTATTCGTGTATCAGGCGAACATCTGTAATTACAAACCCGAGTCAACCTATGGTCATTGTCAGCTAAGGAACCCAGGGAGTGGCTTATTAGAGAGTTTTAGGCAACCGTTTGTGCACATTCAGTGCGGTAAGACATGAGCCTCCGATACGGTAACCACCTCCGATACGGTAAGCCTATAGTCACATTAAAAAAAAAATTCATCTTTTTCATTTTTTTTAGTATTTGTGCGTCAAACGATCATCAATGTATTTACAAACACGAGTTAACCCATGGCCATTGACAGCTTACGAAACTCAGGGCGTGGCTTATTAGAATTTTACGGAGGCTTTTTTTCCACATTCTATGTAAGTAAGACATTCGCATCCGATACAATAAGCATATACTCATATAAAAACAAAGACGATTTGTTTTTTTTTTGTCTTTTTTTTAGTTTTTAGGAATCAATCGAACATCAGTGTAATTATAAACACGAGTTAACCTAGGGTCATTGTCAGCTTAAGAAACCAAGGGCGTGGCTTATTAGAGAGTTTTAGGGAACCGTTTTTGCACATCCGATACGGTACGATGGGTCCTCCGGTACGAACTGCGCATGCGCTTGTCTTCTGCGATGTTACTGTAATGCGCTGGTCGAACCGTAAGGCAAGACCTGCACGACCAATGGCCGACATGGATAGTCTCGCTTGGTTAGCAAAACGGCTATTTCGCTGGCGGAGAGAGCGTGCCGTGGCTCCAAACATGAAGAAAATAACTCGTGGCAGTGCCTGGCAGGAGTGCCATGTGTGACAGCAAGTTCATAAAGTTTGAGGCAGCAAATAAGAAAAAGAATAAAGAACAAAATGCGATAGGACTTTTTCAATAGAAATAAATAAGTGTTTAGCATAGGCAAGAATCATATGCTCAGTAGCTCAGCAATAAAAAAAAAAAAAAAAAAAAAGCTTTAGTAGCTAAGTGGAGAGTAGTGTTTCGGCTGCCGAGCAGTGCGGACGCACGGATGGCGACCTCCGATCGAGCGACGATAACGGTCGTTGCCGGCCGTGGTGACAGGGCGTTTTGTATCCCCGCTGATTACCGGATTCTGTTGCCGACGTTGCCGGCGGGCGATAAAACGAAGAACCAAGTTTATCTTCACTGCGACGTAAATGCCAGGCCGCTTCGAATTGGAGACTTCAAGGAACCGTTGGAAAAGGTCGACATGCTCAAAGAAGTTGCAGGGCTCGGCGTATGCCAGATGGGACACGTGTGGCTGTGCAGCCTGAAGAGTGCGGCGGCGAAAGAGCGGCTTCTCAAGCTGGGCTGGCTTACCGTCAAAGGTAAACTGTGCATTCCCGTGGACCCCAACAGGCAAGAAGTGCGGGTCAAGCTGCATTGGGTACCTTTCGACGTCCCCAACGACGTTCTCCGAAGAGCCTTGGAAGAGTACGGGACTGTCAACGAGGTGAGCAAGGAAAACTGGCGTGTGGATGGCTTCGAGGATATCGAGTCCACCACAAGGATTGCCAAAGTCACGCTGAAGGAGGGAATGACGCCGGACAAGTTGCCTCACCAGCTGAAGCTTAACGGGGGCACGATCCTTGTTGTCGTCCCTGGACGAGCGCCGATTTGTCTGCGGTGCAGCAGGGCAGGACACATACGACGTGACTGCCGTGTGCCCCGGTGCGGCCAGTGCCGAGGCTTCGGCCACGTGTCCCAGGAGTGCGTGCGCTCGTATGCTAGCGCAGTAATTAATCGAGCCACCAATGAAGATGACGAAATCATCATGGACGAAACAGAAACGGAGGAGGCGGCGACGCTGCCTTCGAGCCTACCGGAGACAACGGAGCAAGCTACGACAGGTGATACAACTAACGGTACCAACGCAGCAGAGGTGACGGCCAAGGCCTCGACGCCCGACGCTGAGGAACCTGGAAAGGAGACGCAGGCGACGACGGCGGGAGGCACAGACGCCGTGGACAAGGGTGACGTGAACGAGCCACTAATGGAACTGGACCTTGCGAATGTGAAGCGGCGACTGGATGATGAGACCAAGGACAACGAGGCACAGGAGCTACATCGCCCACAAGGCCAGTGGAAACAAATCGGAAAGAAAGGTCGTTACGCCACCAAGCTGCGGTCCTCGTCGCTGACCCGCGATGGGGAACTGTCACAGAGACCCTCTGCGCCATGAGCCGAGCTCTGCAGGAGCCAAGCGACAGGTAAGCACTAGGAGGTTGGACTGTCGACACTAAAAACAAAAACAAAAACAAAACAAAAAATGGTAGGGCTCACGTCCGGGCTCCGTATTGGAACTCTGAACGTTAGGGGCTTAGCGGCACGTCGCCGCCAGTGTCAACTTAGTCGCCTACTCACGGAGAACGACCTGGACGTACTTGCTGTCCAAGAAACAAAAGTTGAGTGTACGAGTCAGACCGACCTCATGGTGCGACCGTTTATGTCGAGGTACAATGTATGTGTGAGCCACTCTGTCGGTAGGTCAGGCGGCTGTTGCCTGTTTTTGAAGAAAGCATCAGGAATCATGGAGGAAAATGTTATTGTATGCGCGTCGGGTCGTTTTGTTATTTGTGACTTTTCTTTCTCCAATTTAAAGTGGAGGGTTATATGTATTTACGCCCCCAATGTGGAAAGCGAGCGATGCACTTTTTTTGAAAATATTTCCATTTACCTCCAGAGTGATAGAATCATGGTATTATTAGGAGATTTTAATTGCATCTGTTCACCTGAAGACCGATCAAACCGACCACACAACAGAGATAAATCCGGGGAGCAGCTAAATAATTTGGTTAAAGATTTCGAACTTGAAGACGTAGCGCAATGTACGTCAACCGGTAATCGTGTGATCTACACGCACCACCAAGGTAGCAGTCATTCGAGGCTGGACAGAGCGTATGTTTCGGTCGACATTGTGCCCGAATGTGGTAGTTATGCAGTCAGTTACGTGTCTTTCAGTGACCACAGCCTAGTGACTTTCACAGTGGGTCATTGCAAGAACCGCTCTAGCTTCTCCTGGGAGTTATGGAAGCTAAACGCTAAGCTCTTGGACGATAAGCAATTTACTGAAAAGGTTCAAAGTAGGCTGGAGCAA